TACCTAGCTTGGTAAGTGCCCTTGTTTTGTTGACGCTTGGACACTACCATGACTACTACTACTACTACTATTGGTTTTCATTGCAGTTACTTGTTACAGGCACGGAAATATTAGGGCCCAAAGCAAGAGAAAGGAGAGTGGACCTAAAGGAGAGCTAAAACTCCTCTGGGAAAGGAAGGGCGATGGGAAACATGAGAAGCCCTCGAAACAGGAACCGACACAAAGACAGAAGCTGAGACACTAGCCCTGGCATCTTGTGATCTGATGCTGAACTGCTGAGTCAGTCTGCTAGAAAAGGCAGAGTGCTAGGGACTTTTTCCTGCTCCTGTGCCACTTGTCAGAAGCACTTAAGAAAATGAAAGTAAATGGCCTCAGTGCAGCAGCTTCTGTGGTGCCGTCATGTCTTTGTACGTGCACTGGTCTGTCTTCCATGGTTTCGCTCCTGTGCCAAGTGAAATTGGGTGGAAAGTGTAGTTTAAGGGGGGAAATACAGCCCCAAAACACTTTCCGGTACTGAAGATACAAGCCCAGCCAATGCTGCTCTGAGGAACCAGGCTGGAGAGCTGCTGTATAGGAGCAGGCAGGATTGTCACAATTTTTACCTCTCTCACTACGCAAATGCTTCCCACTGCCGTCTCTTTCACAACAGCATTTTGCATATCAGAGAAGAAACCTCTATCCATCAATGGTAGAAATACCCTGATGGGCAGACTCTTAGACCAGCTAGCAGCTGCTGCCCCTTTTTAGCTGTCAGTTCATAACAGATGGCCTAATTTTCCTATACAATGCCAATTAAAATTAACATACCAACCCACATCAAACATGAGAGGAGGCCAATCGATGCATCATTTTAGAGCCTTTTAGGCTCCATTCTTCACAATCTTAACTCACAAGATTTCTCTCCCCTCTGCACTAAATGTCACTTTCTGCAGATACCACCAGGAACACACTGTTTTCCTTCACAAATATTAGACTCCTGGATCTATTAAGATTTTTGCAATGATGCAGTAAATGGGCCAGTCACTGTTATGGAGTAGAAAGCAATTTGCTCCAATGCAAGCAGAAGAAAATGTCACAATCATAGATCATAGCATAAAAAGCAAACAGCGCTGGAGAAACCAAACAGGTGGCTCAGAGGGTGCCATATGAAGGAACCTGAGTCTCTGCCTTCACATGCTAAAACCACTTCTCCCTTTTAGTGTCACATTGCACCAGGGCTCCCTCATACACCACAATCTCATCGAATGACCAGGCATAGTTGGTCTCCTAAGAGCCCCTGAAACCATTGACTTGGGAGACTCCCAGAGAGTATGGCTCCTTTCAATCCAACCAGCTAGTAGGGTTGGCCTCATGGGAGGCCATTACACCAGCCTCAGGATACACTCACCAGTAAGCTAAGATGCCTACTGAGCAGACTCAACTATGGAGAGGCTGTTGCAGCTGAGTAAGACTAAGAGGCATGTGAATACAAGGCACCCTGCTCCTCTCTCTGTGGGGAAGGCTGCTTATAGCATCCAGGGACACATTGGAAATCTTTGAATTGGAGACATCTTTGGGAAGAACAACTATTCACTTAAATCACTGTTCACAGATCAAAGCCCCGTTGGTATCACTAGATATGAATAAAGAACCTAGCTCAGCACAGCAAGCTTCAAAGATTTCACCTCTCAGGGCCTGATTCTGCCACCAAGTGCACTGGTACAAATCAAAGACAATGCCAATGAGATCAGTGGAGTTCAGCTTGTATCAAAGGCATCAGAATCAGTCCAACAATCTGGAAAAATTACCAGATTACATATTTACGCCTTTGATATGCTCCTTGAGTGACACAGCAGGAGGGGCAAGCAGTGATATGGAATGGCTTGGCAGCAAATGGCAACTCATTTTGTGAAACAACTGAGCACCTCCTCTCCTATCATAGGTGTTGGAGAACTAGTAGGTCCAAAAGACATCAACTGTGCACCAGATCTGCACAAAGGGGGGTGTCCTACCTGCCAAGCTGTTTGCAGAACACATGTTGCTTGGAAAATGGTGTGAAGTCCTTGAGATTCAGGAGATCATACAGTGAGGCCACTTTTTAGTAGAGATGGCCTGATGCTGTAAAATTCAGATCCAGCTCTGGATTTTGAACATTCCTAGGGTGGAGACTCCATTTTTGAAGTTGTTCTCTGGGGAGCTGACCGCAGCCCATATTTTTGTAATGTCTTGTCTGGGCTTGGGTGGGACATCACTCCTTTTGCATCACATTGTCATCAAACTGGTAGAGAGTGAATGCAACCCTTTGGATAATCTGTTTCTGCCTTCCATGAATGAAACATTATTTCACTCACACTTTTTTAGAGACCACACGGTACCAGACTTTCCAAGGATGGGTTGAAACACTACAACCAGAAAGCTGACGTTCCTGGGTAAATAATTTCACAAGAACATCTTGTAACTTTCTGGAAGGTATTCTAGACAGAAAAACTGATGTTTGTGAATGCATTTCCTCATATGAATAGGTTATAAGGATAAACAAAGCATTTCTCTTGTGGCAAGATGCTCTCCATTTCCATTTTGTAGGTATTAGCGTTTTTCAGCTTATGAATTGTCAGAAGTGACATAACTTTATTTTGCATAGCTTCTTCCCTTACCCCCACAAGTATTCTGCATACTACAGTTCCAGTGGAATGAACGGGAGTTCTCCCAACAGACTTCAACAAGAACAGGTCCCAAATGCTTCACAATAATAATATAACATAAATTCCCAAATACAAAAGACATTACGAGAAAGTGAAGGCTAAATCACACACATCAAAGAATCTTCTCCAAATGTACCAAGGTGAAGTCTGAGTAGACAAACTATGTTATGCAAACTGTGAAATTCCTTTAAGATCATTCATGGGATTGAAAAGGACAGGATGCAGAATACTAGCTTTAGGATTTCTGTCAATGATATCTTTTATTGTATCAACCGCATAGTTGGGATAGAGTTAGACAAGCTTTCAAATCCAAGACATTCTTCTTCAGGTCAATAAAAGATACCACCCAAAGAAATCCTTGCTTTTCACATAATACCTGGACCACCACAGCTACAACATCGCTCTAACACTGCCATGGCTTAATTACTTTTTTATCTCTAAATTCATTAACAAATTTACTTGAAAGTTTTCAGTGCTCCAAGGACTGCTACCATTTGGGATGGGGAGGCTGCATGCTCCATGGGCAACAAAATTGCTCAGTGCAAGTTTTCTATGTAAAATTCAACTTGGCTTTAGAAAAGGTACTGGGGCTTAGGACTAGTGCTTCCTAGTTATGGGAAAGCACCGCTTTAAAAAACTTACAGTAACTGAATAAAAATGCCTACTCGTGAATCCAAAAAGAGGAAGAAGAAATGAAGAGGCTTGGCTGATGGAGAATCATGTGTTTTACAGGATGATTTAGTAAATGAGAAAATCAATGAAGTAGACAGAAAGGCTGTTCCCAATAGCAGGCTGTCTCACCAACCATGGGCAGACTCTCAATGGACAGAAAAGAAACTAATGATTGACAAAATGAGTTTTATATGATTAACATTTTAGGGTCCAGGTTCTATTGACTTTAGCAGACTCAGGATTTGTTTACCAGTACGGAACAAGTCTTTTTATTTGTGGAATGATCTGTAATATAGGATTGGATGCTATTACTTCAAGCTTCCATGCATAGGAAGCATGCTGTATTAGATATACAGTCTGTCACGGAGTCTAGGAACTTTTCTATTTTTTAAGCAGGTTGGAAAATTCAGAATCGATCACTAGTGCAAAATTCCAGAGAAGCATCAGTTATTAGTGAAACTTGGGTTTTACCTACATATTTGCATTTTCTGTGCAGAAATGCTTAAAAACTCCATCTTATATTCCAGATAGATGCTGTAAGGAGCACTTTATAATGTAACATTTATACAGCAACTAGCTGGCAATCTGACTCCCACTGATGAGAACTCTAAGCCTGTTTTTAGCTCAGATATATACTTTGACATTTTTAGATGTCATGAGTTTTGGTTGCGCTTTTCAGAAAAAAACAACTTACCTCCATGAATGCTTCTATAGGTTCAGATGGTGAACTGATGTGGAAATGGCAATCTAAAGAGGTACGAAGTATACCATTTATTTTTCAAAACCACTGAAAGACAAAGTTTATGGGGATACAGATTTACATAACAGAGACAAAGTAACTTTGGCAAATGTACAGTCTATTCCATATTATTGCACTCACTTTTTATAATATACAAGGCATTTTGAAGGTTTTTCAATAAAAGAAGTTATATTTATATAAATAAAAGTGTACATATACAATATCATACAATAAACATATCAGCTTAACATACAAAACGTAACTAAAGTGGGATTCCAAATTCTCACCTGATCTAGTCTAATTCCCATCAATATTTTCATGTGTACATTTACATATCCTAAAATGCATGAACAGGTCAACAGTCCAAAACCTGGCTGTGAATAATTCATCAGGAATTTGAAAAGAAACAGCTGTCACTTATGAGGGCTAACTCTAATTGAGTAATTTTAGAAACCCCAATCACTCAAAATTATCTTAATACTTAATAGTTCTTGAAAGGACATTTTAGGATGTAAAAAACCAAACATATTGGCTCATCCTAAATTTAGGCCCGATCCTGCAGTCCCTTAATACAGGTGCAATCCCCACCGTCTCTAATGGGAACGTTTCATGCATAAAGACTTCAGGCTATTACACTGCTCAGAGCCCAGGCCAAATCAAAATCCAGCATGTTCACCTTCCTGAGCTGCTTGGGGCCTAGAAGGTAACAAATGTTAGCTTCTATCCAGAAGAAAAGCTGGCCTGTTCTGAACACCAGCCTCCCTCTCTTCATTGTCCATGATGAAGAGCTGCTTGGGACCGGGTATCCTGATTCTTAACACACTTACGTTCTTATGTGGAGCTGTATGCCCTGCATTAGGGCTTGAGTAACTCTGGGGTGACCATTACTTGTATACAGAAGCAGTAGCTTGGGGACAGGCCTTCAATTAGCCAAGATCAAGGTAAAAACCAAGGCTTATCCATGAGAGTGAGGCCTTGGGAGCATTCTGAATCTTTCCTCACTCGTTAGTGCTCAGCTGCAGGGGAGGGGCTTGGTTCCTTGATCATACAGACATTGAATCTCTGAATCCTATGGTCCCATTCTTTATCTTACAGCTGGACGGACACACACGTTGGGACTGATTCTGCTTTCACACTAGCTCCCCATTGGTGAAAACCTCTCCTGCCTTCAAAAGGGATATCCTGAATTAACACTGGTCTGAGACCAGAAGGTGGCCCAGAGAATCTAGGGCTCTTCAAAATCCTTTCCTACATCATGAATAAATAGAATAGCAAGGGGCACCTGTGCCTGTGACAGCAAAGTTACTCAAGGAATCTCCATGGCTCATTTTAGCATCACCAGGTTCCTAAATGAGTAACATAGTTTCTAATTAAATATAGAAAAAAAATAGACTTTGACAAGGAAAAGTACAGTCAAGTCACCTGCTCCTAGAGACTAGTCATAGGTAGGGATCTACTTAAAGCACATGAAGGAGAAGTAAAAATTGCAGACCACTCGCAGCACCCAGCACCATTTTTTAAGTCTTTTTGCAGGGAGACCCCTTGTGCTGACTGGTGGAGGGGCCCCGGTTGCCCTGCCCCTCGCTATTGACTGGCTGAGAAGCCTGCCCTTTATGCAGACCCGCCCCTCGCTGCCGAGTGGCAGAGAGGGGCGGGGCCACACAAAAGGCAGCCCTCTTGATCAATCAGCAGCAGAGGGTGAATGCCAGTTTTCATAATGATGGCAGAAACCACCTTTTTCACAATTTCCACAAAAACTGTGAATTGAGTAGAGCCCTAGTTATAGGTGTATGCTGTAGTACCTGCCTGTTACCTGTTCTGTCCGTTTTCTTTGAAACACTTGAATACCTTATAATTCCATGTTTTCCCACATAAAACCATTCATATATTCTTATTCTACATTCAGACAATCGCAGGACTTTATTTTTACCAGCTGCTGTGAAAAAGTTCATTATAGCTGACAGTTTTCTCCACTCTTGCCTTACCAAAGCAAATTTCATATTATGGGACATAGGAATTTATGGGGAATATTATTTCAATACATTTGCCCAGAAATTTTATTGGAATAATTTCAACTTTGGTAGTACCATCAGTGAGATCTTCCATTTCCTATTACTTAAGAAATCACATTTTTGGCAAGAAAAATGATCACATCATCTAATAAGTCAGGGTTAAAAAGTAATTACTACATCAAAAAAAAAAATACACATCACTAGAGGTCGGTATCTATCTAGAACATGTTAATAGGCCATCATATTTTTAAATATTAAAACGTCATCGTTCCTTCAAATTATACTTATTATTTAGTATTCACAAACACAGAAATTCCCACTTACTTTTGCTATTAATATTTGCCCACCACATATATCTTTAAGTGCCTATGAAATAAGCAACTGTATGGTATTAATTTAGTGAAAATGAAAGTTTTCCAAAACCACTCACAATGAATAGTACCAGCAAATAAGTGTCTGAAAAATTCTATTATTCACCATGTATCATTTTCAAGACACACTTCAAAGTCTTTAAGTTGAATGCACAAGATTTAAAAGCTCGTCCTATTTGAGGTCACACTTATTTAGGAGTGGGGGAATCTGTATACTTTCTGGTCTGGAATTAGTAAATCTTAAATGGTGAATTGAAACAAAATGCTGCTTCTTAACACATAAGGGTGGTTTAGTATTTTAAACTAGAAAAACGTCAGTACTGCACTGTATATATATATATATATATATGCCGGTATGTATTCACTATACTGTATTAAACTTAACATGCATGTTCATGTATTTATAATACATATTATTTATTTATCACTATCTTAGGTTGGATTATTCCTGAAGAAGGCCTCACAGTTTAATTGTTATCACCAACTATTCTCCCTCAGGTTTTAAATATAAATTAAACAAAAATGTTCCTCCCAATTTAGGCCCTGAGACCACACTGAGTTTCATGTGGCTGGAAATATGTGCAGATCCCACAGATGATGACTGAACACCATGCAAGAGAAGGGGGCTGTCCCTCCAGAATCTATTCCAGAGTAGACTAGAAACAGACGTTGCACATTTGTCCCTGGACAAGTTGTGCCTGGAACAGAAACATCCCAGAATTGGCATGTACACACATCACACTTCTAATCTGGATTTAGTGAGGGACTAAATACACTTTTCTGCTACTAATTCAAGGATGCAATCCAGGGATGATGCAATGTATAGGCATACTTTACGGTGCTCATAGATACACTGTTAGTACTTCTTATCCCGTAAACCTTTTTAGGATTTGTCACGGGACAATGGACATGGATAACTAAACACCTGCACTTTTCCCAGGATAAAATGGTTTATCTCAGGATAAATGCAACATCTGTTTGTAGCCACAGTGGATCCAACTCTGCAGCCACTTCATACCTCCTCTGGTTTCTGTAAGCAAAACAGCTGTAAAGCTAAGTCCAGCACTTTTTTCACCAAAACCATAAAGACCTCTCTCCTTGGATACAAATATGCGCACGTTTATGGGAGTGGGAAAATAAAAATTAAAGATATAATTATTTCTATTTCGTGCAACTTTTCTGCTCACCTAATCTTTGGATGCCACCCAGAACAGTATCTACTTCCCCATGTCACTAGTTATGTTCTACCCAACTTGTGAGGAAAACAAACTGAACCAAAATGCTTCACTCGTTTAGAAGTACTGACTAGAACCTGCTGGAATAAACAGAAATAAATTGGGTTATGGTATAATCTAGGGCTCAGCTCCCACTGCAAAATGCACCTCCAGATTTTTTAAACATATCACCTACCCATGACCCTGGCCCTTCATAAATAAAAGGGCCATTTGCAAGGTGTTGAATTGGCTCCTGGTTTGGATTTTGAATGCCTCTTCAGTTAAGGTTGATGAGACCTTAGGTTTCAAGCCAATCTTTTGTCTGAATACAAGATCCTGAGGATAGTGGACCAAACAACTAGTTTCTCACTGTTAAGGATGGCACCCCATTTTTGTTTTGTCACTGGTATGGCTTGTCATCCCAAACTCAGGGAAATAAATTGTCTGTTCTAATCTCTTATATTGTACATGTTCTTCCCTTAAAACTGCACTGTATAAATAACACACAGCAAAACAGCCTGCTAGGGGTGCATGCTTTGAATGGTGAGGAATTAAAGATAAGTGCATGTGACACTGCAGCCATTACTGTATTATTGTGTCTATAATATTTTATCTAAGGAGTTATGATCTATACATATAAAGTTACAATTCCACAAATCAAAATCCTCATCAGCTGGCCCATTCCTCACTCAGTCCAAACGATATTTATAACAAACACACACACACACACACACACACACACACAATCAAAAAATAAATATTTGAGGAAAAAAAAAAAGATTAAAAGTCACCAGTATGGCCAGTTCAGATTTAAGTGTTAAATCTTCAGACTTGAGTGTTTAAAGTAAGGCAACCATAGTCCTTTTTGGGTAACTATACAAAAGCGACTCAATTTACAAAGGTGCTTAGCACCCAGTGAATTCAGTGAGTACTAAACACCTAAAAATTCAACCTACTTTTATTTAAATGCCTAATTTAAGGAACTCAAGTCTGAAACACTGATTGCAATTTTTATACTTGTCTTATTTAAAGTTGTAAATCTGAACCGCTGTCATCCCCTTGATCCTAGATAGATCACCAGCCAACTGGGACAGATTTTCCTTCCTGAAACAAGTGTCTGCACACAGAGTTCTATTGCCTTAATACGTCTGATCTTCCAGTATAACAATATGCCACTGAGGGCTCATTTAACTGTGGCGAGTTCATATTTTTTCAGATTTTGAGCTTTGTGATAAAATGATTGTGTTTTAGATTTACAAAGTTGTGCAAAATTATATCTCTCTCATCATGCATTTTTAGCAAAACTGTATTTAGAAGAATAAAGTGAGATTGTTCCAGACATTCTCTTATATTAACAAATAAAGACTGGACCCCAAGTAAGTGTATTAAAATCAAGTTATAGCTAAGTGATATACAGTCTATATATACCCATCCTTGTTAACAGGATAGCAACAAATGAGTTATGCCCCAAATCTGCAAACACGAAGTATGTCAGGAACAGGCACAATATTAATCAAAATCTGCTTTACGATTCTGAATGTCCATTGAACTGCTGCCTGACACAAAGATCCTCCTGGAGATTGGCTTCTTACATCCTTGATAAATATTTTTAATACCCTGCATGTTTGCATACTGTTTTTCTGATGCTTTAAGCATTCCACTGGAGTGCATTAAGCCACTTCTACACAGCTTCAAAATGTAAGGACAGCTGGTAGCGTGTTTGGAAAGGGCTTGTTCAGGTGAATATTTTGCCTTAAAGAGGTGGGTTTCTTGATAGTGCTTCTGTCATACTGAAGTTCTAGGCTTCTTGATAAGCAACTGAACAGGTCCCTCTGGGACAGATTTAATGATATTCCAGGCATCATAGTGCATGAGACCAAGTAATGACTTTCCACTAATGGCAAGAATTTCATCTCCAGCTTCTATTTTTCCAGCTTGCTCTGCAGCACCACCTATGGGCATAAAGGAATAAACTGTCAATATAAAAGAGGCAGCAGGGGTTGCTTCCCACTATGATCAGTGAGAAAGAAATGAGTCTTTGAACAACAGCTATTTAACCACTGGGTCATTATTCTGAATACTTGCAATTTCTCCCAGTAGGGTGCATTCAATAACAGAAAAGTACAGTATTATTATAACTCCCATATTAAACTCCAACTGTTAAATAAATCTTGTGTGAAACCAAGCTGCTGAGATTAAAATGAACATTACAGAAGAATAAGATGCCATACACTGGCTCTACTATTATATAATACATAATGTGCCTGCTCATACAGACTGCAATACTTATTTCCAGAAAAAATGAAATATACCATAAAGAAAAAATGGCCCAAGTCTCAAACAGCATGTTAACCTCTTCTCAACTGAACCCTTTAATTGTTAGCAATAACAAGGGACAAAGCAAGTTCTTCAGCAAAGACCAGACACCTAGCGGCTGAGATGGAAGCAGTTAAAGAACAAGCTTCCTGTACAGTTAGAAATTAGATAGTATTGACAAAAGTGTATTTTCTCTAATGGTAATTCATCTGCAACCATCCTCTATCAAGATACACAGCACAAACTCTAATTAATGACCATAATATGAGTGTTTCCAGATAAACACATACTGTGTAAAATTAATGACTTCGGGTATAATAGCACTTTTAATTTCAAAACTAAAGTATTACATCACACACACATTGCTAGACCAAATAGGAACACAGTCTAGCAACATTTTGACTCT